CACCCCACGCAGCCTGCTGTTCGGTCGTTTGGTCGCCCCTCACTGACCCCTATGCCATCCTGATCATTCCACGCAACCTGCTGTTGGATTGAGTGAGGGTGCATATTCCTCTATTATTAGTATAAATGAGTGCTTGTATTTTTCTATTAGAACAATTCATCACTAAATCTTTTACCAAGAACTGATTTTCAAGTACAGATATTAAGAAACCAGAATGATTACAGATTATTCACATTTTTAAAAAATATTTTGATTTTTTACAGAGAGGAAGAGAGAGGGATAGAGAGTTAGAAATACCCATGAGAATCATCCATCAGCTGCCTCCTGCACACCCCCTACTGGGGATATGCCCACAACCAAGGTACATGCCCTTGACTGGAATCGAACCCAGGACCTTTCAGTCCGTAGGCTGGCGCTCTATCCACTGAGCCAAACCAGTTTTGGCAGATTATTCACATTTTGAATCACACATCTAAAAAAGACTAAGTAACACCCAATGGTTATAGAATCATGACACTAAAATAATATATTCTGCATTATCATTCAAAGAATTATATCCATTTTACTTTTTGCAGGGACTTCAAAGAACCTCTAGACAGAGGAAGTGAGGTCCAAAACTGCTGATGTACCCAAGATCATATAATCTATATGTGACAAAACAGTGATAACTGATATAATTTTAAAAATTTCTCATTTGTAAACAACTGTCACTTTCAACAGGACAACCACACTGAAATGGTAACCACTTTAGAAGACATTTATGTCATCAAGAAAAGAAATTCATCAAGCACATACTAAAACTTTCCTTCATCCCAACCTCAAAATAATCTATGAGCCAACCTATTTTTATTTCATTCACTACTCTCCCCACCTTAAGTAAAGTATCTCTACAAATATATAAGTAAAGTATTTCTACAAATATATTCTATTTTCAATAATCCTGAAACATCTTTTCTTGAAACTGCTTCTCTGTCAAGCTGTTTGTCTTTCCCTGTATAAAGAATAGTCATCTCCTTGCCTTTCTACTGAAACAAAGGCCAACAATAAGTTTTCATTTCCAAGAGAAGTGGTCCCTGGTCAGTCCCTATCGAACTTGACTTCTCTACATTTGATACTGTTCACATACTTCGTTTTTAACTTCCAGGCTTCTATCATTTCTGACTATTCTATTCATCCTTTACATGTCATTGATTTCCCTTCCTTTGATCATCATTATTGGTGTTTCTTACTATACAACTTGCTTAGGACGTATTTTTTTTAACTACCACACTATAATTCCAAAATTGATTTCTTAGGCTCCAAACTCGGATATACAACAATCTACTAAACCTCTTTATTGAAACATGAAAAGTAACTCAAACTCAACTTGTTTTGGCATTCTCTTCCTAAATGTACCACCTAATTCAGTTGACCGTGTCAATTACCCAGCTGTGTAAGCAAGATTTACCTTTCAAGTTCACCAAATACCAGAAAATATATCCTATCTAATAAGAGAGTAATATGCAAACTGACTAAATTTGGGAACTGAACTAGACCCACAGACCATGCCCACCAGCCAATCAGGTGCAAGTACGAAAATTAACCCAACCAAGATGGCTGTGGCCATCGAATGAGCAAGAGGCTTGGGTTTCCAGGCAATGAAGGAACTGTACAATGAACTCCTGGTTTATAGGTTAGTCTGATTCTTAATTTTTAAAGGCATGCCCAATGGCTTACAATAGGTACTTCATATCTGCTCTAATATACAAAACCACCATTTTTTCAATTACCCAAAATTTTTTAACAGTCACTTTATCTCATTTCTATTAGCAATCTAGTTTTAAATCCTTGACCTTACTTGAAAACTCTTCACATTTCTTTCTTCCTTGATTCTACTGCCATCACTAAGTTTGAATTATAAGTATCCTAAATGATAACTCTCTTTAAACCCTACCTGTTAGATAGACTTTTTTTTTTTTTTTTTTTTACTAAACAACTTTCTCTCATCATTTTACACTTTTACCTGAAAAGTCTTTAATGGATCCCTAGTACTTATAAGGTAAACTAAAATCTTAGCCTTAGTTTTCAAAATTCTCCAAAATTCATTGTACCACTTACAATAGTCACTTCTTAAAGCAAAGCTCTCGTCGAAACAGGTTTGGCTCAGTGGCTAGAGCGTCGTCCTGTGGACTGAAAGGTCCCAGGTTCCATTCTGCTCAAAGGCATGTATCTTGGTTGCGGGCACTTCCCCAGTAGGAGGTGTGGAGGAGGCAGCTGGTCGATGTCTCTCTCTCATCGATATTTCTTTTCTTTTTTCTTTTTTTTTTAATATATTTTATTGATTTTTTACAGAGAGGAAAGGAGAGAGAGATAGTTAGAAATATCAATGAGAGTCATCGATCAGCTGCCTCTTGCACACCCCCTACTGGGGATATGCCCGCAACCAAGGTACATGCCCTTGACCGGAATCGAACCCGGGACCCTTCAGTCCCCAAGATGACGCTTTAGAGCCAAACCAGTTTCGTCTCTCATCGATATTTCTAACTCTCCCTCTCTCTCTTCCTCTCAGTGAAAAATCAATAAAATATATATTTTTTTAAAAAAGCAAAGCTCTCTCTCTATTCCTAACAAGATGAATTCTCACCATTCCCAAAACAGACTTAATTTTTATATTTCCCAGTGTCATCTAGACTGACCATATGATTCCTAAGGGTAACCTCAGTTTTTGAGATGAATTTATGTACCAAAGAAAAAATCCCAATAAAAAGGAGTAAAATCTAAGACAGAAAAAAAAAAAATAAAGTAGAAAAACATCTTCTGATTAGAAAAGGCAATTAAGCCCTAGCTGGTTTGGCTCAGTGGATAGAGCATTAGCCTGTGTACTGAGGGGTCCCAAGTTCAATTTCGGTCAAGAGCACATGTCTAAGTTGTGGGCTCAATGCCCGTAGGGGTCGTGCAGGAGACAGCCAATCAATGACTCTTTCTCATCACTGATGATATTCTCTCTCCCTCTCCCTTACTCTCTGAAATCAATAAAAATATTAATAAATAACTATAACATTCCATTGAATCCCAGTTTACAAAGTGCTTTTATTTTACGTAACAAAAAATTGTGGATCTCAATTTTAAGTGATTTATCCAATGTCCTATTTAACTAAAATGATGAACAAAGGCTTTTAAGGACTCAAAATTCCAAGCCTACAACCCTCTCTGCCCTAACTACATAAGAAACACATGAATGTATTTACTGTTAAAATAGTAAAGTACCTGGATGTGTAGACATTAACTATAGCATGTTATACAAATCAAATTATCTGTTTAAAGAATAAACAAAGAGCTATCTCTCCTGTGCTTAAATCCTTCAGTGCTTCCCACAGAATTCAGAGAAATTCAAAGCTCTTCAGACAAAGAAAGCCTTTCAAAAAAGTTGACTCCTACTTACTGCTTAACCCAACCAAACAAATCTTTTCACCATGTTCCATTTATAAGTATTTAAAAATGGTTTTCCAATGACCGTGTAGGGACTCTGCCAACATTGACCACTGCTACATTTAAACAGAAGAGTACCAAACAAAATAGAGACATCAAGAGTTAAGACATACATGTCATGAATTTTGTCAGGACCACATTAATTTTAAAACTGCTTGTGAAATACAGAGTTTTGCATCATAAAGGAGATTATTAGAATAAACCTTAAAATAAAACTTCTAATATCCCTTTCACTCTCAAGAATTAGATTGCTTGGCTCTGGCCAGTGTTGCTCAGTAGTTAAAAGAGTGTCAGTTTGTGCACAAAAGGATCTCGGGTTTAATTCCTGGTTAAGGGCATATACATGGGTTGCTGGTTAGATGCCCAGTCCCCATTGGGGTGTGTGTGATTGTGGTGCATGAGGGAGGCAACCAAATCAATGTGTCTTAACACTGATGTGTCTCTTTCCCTCCCCCCACCCCTTTCCCTTCTACTCTAAAAATCAGGAACAGACTGATGAATCTCAGAGGGAAAGAGGTAGAGATTAGGGGAAGAATTTATTTGCATAACAGGCAACACTGCAATGAAGGCATGGGGGGGGGGGGGATGTGGCTCGAATGAGGTGCAGGGGGTTAATGAGGGGTGAGGAGGACATCTGTAATTCTTTCAACAATAAAGATAAATTTTTAAAAATTTATACTAATGAAAAACAGTAAAAAAAAAAAAAAATCAATGGGAAAAATATCCTCAGGTGAGAATTAACAAAAAATAAGGGGTAGGGGGGAAGGGAAGGAATTAGATTCCTTGGACTTGAGTTCTGGTTATACCTACTTCCTAACAATTTAACCTCCCTGGGTCTCATTTCTGCAACATGTGAGTAATATCTCATAGGACTGTGGTACCAATTAAATGAGAATGTGAAGCACTACGTCAAAACATAGTAAGAATTCAAATATATTCTAATTTGTAACTGTCCAATGAATAACAGATTAAAATGGAAATGCTAATTTGGGGCTTATTCTCAAACCCTATTGTCCCTGACAACCTGCTGGAGGCTAAAATGGCTCATTCACCATAGAGAATACCAATTATTCTTCTGCACACTGGGGATCTCCAGGAAGTCAAGGAGTGGAAAAATCTGAATGTGATTCGATCTTTTGTTCACAGAGGTTGTCTTCAGACGCCTTGAATAAAGCTAGCCCACAGGAGGTGATCAGTATTTTTTGGAGAAATACTGGAATCAGTGGCAACACCTGGCCAAATAACTGGGTGACTCATAGGACTGACCTAAAGATGACCTCAATTCTGATTTCAACTTCCATTGTTGGGCCATATTCCAAGAACTCCTATAAAAGCGAAGCAGTCGTGAATGGATGCTCCGTTGGAGGTACATGGTACCCACGACCGTCTCAATACTGTTTTTAAAAGGGCACAGTGGGAGACAATGCATTAATACGTGTCACATCAAGAACGAACACTGGCATCTCTTCTGCCTTTCCTCTTTCAAAAATCTCTCCCGATGTCTCCCCTCCATCTGCAACACGGTGACTCACCTGTCTTTTCAGTTATATCTGAGTCGGGGCTGGCTGCCCTGCTAGCCTCCCCTTCAGCGTTCTCCTCCTCGGCACTGAGAGAAATGGGTGAGGAAGGGCCAGGCTGGGAGGGTGGAGGGGTTGCTTCGGGCGCTTCCTCAATCTTATTCCTTTTTTCAAAACGAAAACGGTCCAGGTTGAAAAGATTCATCCTGGCAGCAGCAGCAGCAGCCACCACCACCTGGTGGGATGGGGAATTTAAAATGAACTATCTACGGGAAACAGAAAAGAGAGGGGAGGGGGGGAAAAGAGGCCATGAACACAATGTACAACACAAAGCCGGAGCAGTTCCATTCCCAGGGCAAATCGGGAGACCGCAGAGGTGCCAGGGGCTCAGGAGGACGATTATGGCTGCGCAGCCTCATGGTTAGGCCACGGCGGGGAGAAGGTGGGCAGAGGTGGGCTTCTTTTTCTTTTTCTTCTTCTTCTTCCCTCCCCCCCCCACCCCCCATCTTTCCATTGCTCTTTTCACGCCCCTCCGTTCCCCACCCCCACCCCGCACACCCCCTCCTTCCTCAAACCACAGGCTGACCCCCGTGCAACCTCTTACCCCAGCACGCGCGGGCACGTCCCCCGCCAACCCCCCTGCGGGCCGCGCGCCCGCCCACGGCGAGCGGCGCCTGCACGACGGCGCTGCGGGCCCGGGGACGGGACGTGCCGGGGCCCGCGCCTCGGCTCCGCGGGGACACAAAGGGGCCGGCGGCGGGGAGCGGCGCAGGCCGCGCTGGCGGGCACCCGCCCGGAAGTTGACGCGGCGCGAGCCCAGCTGGGAGGAAGCGGATGGGACCGCGGCGGCGCGGGGCAGGTTCGGGGGAGCCTCCGCATCTCCGGGGGCGCTCCCTCGCCCGCTGGCGCTGGCGTCTCTGTCTCCTTTCTCTCTCTCTCTCTCTTTCTCTTTCTCTTTCTCCCTTCGGTACTTACAGTCTTGCAGGCTCGGTGCGATGTAACAAAGGTTGGGGGGGAAAGAAAAAAAAAAGAAAAAGAATAAGTAATCGCTGGCGTGGGCGACGGGAGCCGGGGCGGGACTTTCCAAAATAGACCCGGAGGAAAGCCTGCGAGCGCGCAGTGATGACGCAACGCGCAGCCCGAGCTTTTTCTTCTCTCCCCCGCGGTGCCCGAGCGGAAAGTGGTCGGGCGCGCGCCGTTGTCACGGTAACCGGAACCCGCCTCTCTGTGCCCGGGAGGAAGCTCCGTGGGCCGGTTTCCCTAGCGTGGCTGGAGAGTTGTTAGATGGAACAATGATAAACAGCACCATGACAATAAGTAGCCTTCGCAGTAACGAGTGGCACGGCGTTCGATATGTTACAATCTGTGTTGTAGGTAACATACAGATAGTATAGTAACAATGTTGGGCTAAGTGTTTCAAGTGTATGGAACCCTTTAAAAAAAAACCCTTTTTTTTTTTTTTTTTTTTAAACCAAGTAAGGAACCCGAAGCCTGCAGATGCTAAGGAGTTAATTCGTAACGAGTAAAAAAACCCGGGTATGTTGAGCTTCAAAGCATACATACTTGCTTCCTCACTGCTGACTGGATTGTTGTGAGAGTAGAATATGGTCATTCACTCACCTGTCTTGGTGGAAATATTACCCGAAGGATAATTTATTCCCGTTGTTTTAACACTAAACAGGCACTTTTCTGAGTTGTAATTTGACCTTCTTGTTAAACAAGAAATCACTATACATCATTAATCTGCCAAATATATCGGTCATTGTAAATTTAAGTTGGCATTCTGTTGCATAAATCAGTGTTTTGAATTGTAACACAAACCCACAGATTTATCAAATGTGGGCACCCAATAAAACATGTATCTGGATTCATAAAATTCAGTAACAAAGCCTGAGAAATTGGAATTTCACCATGGCAGGGTAGCTCAGTTGGTTGAAACATCCATCCGTACACCAAAAAGTTGCAGGTTCAATTCTGGTTTGGGCACATATTTGTAATAAATAAATAAATAAATAAATAAGATGCTTTCTTAACTCTGAATGTTAAAAACTTCTTTTTGTTTAATATATTCTTATCGATTTCAGAAAGGAAGGGAGGGGGAGAGAGATAAAAACATAAATGAAGAAAGAGAATCATTGATTGGCTGCTTGCTGCATGCCCCATACTGGGGATCCCTTCTGAAACATGCAAGTGCCAGGACCCGGAATCAAACCCTGACCTTCTAGTTCATAGGTAGATGCTCAACCACCGACCCACACCAGCAAGGCAACAAATGCGTTTTTAGTACAAATATGTCCCATGCAATATTTGAAACAACTTATACTGAAAAATTATTTGTTGTCTGTCTGATATTTTAAGAAGGTGTCCTGTATTTTATTTGACAAATTTACCTGCCCCCCATTGCTTAGTTACCTTTGGGCCTAGGGGCCTTTTACTATATGTTAGGTCTATGGATACTACTAGAAGCACTGTTGGCCCTCAGCAAGAAGGACCTGGGGAAAAGTTGGTTATCCTTCTTGGAGCTATATGAGCAGAAAATTTCAGAGCCCAGGTGCTCAAAACCACTGTGTAAAAGTTAAGGCACACTTTACAAAGGGCAAAAAAAATAATCTGCCTAAAGTTATGAACTAAACTAAATGCCAGAGGTAATTATGCAACATCTACAAAGATCTGGAGGGGAATTATTATGACTCTTTTTCTTTATCACATAAATATTATTCATTTATGGAAGAAAAAAATCAATTTCATGTTTTTAATTCCTGGAAAATATATTTTTATTAACATGTATCTAAAGACATAAATCCAGATGACAGGGTCAAAAAAAAAGAGGATTTCAAAAGCAGAATTCATAGTATAAAAATATTCTGTTGAGACTAAACACAGTTAGGACTTAATAATTATAATATGGTGTATGAGCTTTTTGTTGCATAGTTAACAACCACAAAAATTTTCAAAATATTTTTATTTATCTTTAGAGAGAAAGGAGGGAGAGGGAGAGAGAGAAGCATTGATGTGAGAAAGAAACATATTAGCTGATTCCTGCATGCTCACCACTGGGGATAGAGCCTGAAACTCAGGCATGTGCCCTGACTGGGAATTGAACCAACATGTTTTTGGTGCACAGAACAATGTCCAACTAACTGAGCCACACTAGCCAGGGCACACAACCACAAAACTTTAGTTGCTTAGAACAGTATCTTGATTGGCTTGTATGATTCAATTTCAAACTACAATGCCTTTCTGCACATAGTTCATGCTCAGTAAGTATTTGTTGAGTGAATAAACGATGATAATAATTAGGTAAAATGCCTAAGCATATAGATAACCACAAAAGAATGTTTTAAAAAGCTGAGTATCTTCAGAATGATGCATGCCATGAAAGAACAACATAAACCCGAGTTTTAAAATTTCAGATAAGTGACATGCTGAGGTCTTTCTGCATGCAAGGGTTCATGAATCTGGAGAAGGGCCGTGTAAATTGAATAAAGAGACAAGACATGAAATATAAATTTGGGAGGCATGGGAGAGCCAGGGGAGGCTCCACTTTCTAGTGAATGGACTCTCTGAATGTTGGGATCCACAGCTTTTTATTTGCTGAGAAACACATTGGCCCTTTAAGAATGCAAACAGGTAAAGTTTGATAAACAGGAAAAGATTATGAGGTTAAGGGAAATTCCTCAGCTATTCCACCAGCAGCAGGTAAACAGGAAAATATCACGTTAGGGGAAATGCCTACAGCTCTTCTAGCAGTAGGTAATAATATATGCAGTTTTTCAGCCCTGCTGAAAGCCCCAAGATCCATCAGCTTTCTGATGAACTTCTTGCATAATTATAACTTGCTGGAATTAGCCTCCAGAAGTGACATAATTCAAGAAAGAAAGAGAAATAAAAGAAAAAAAATAATCTTAGAAATGATTAACTTTGATGTAACACATAGATAAACATAATAGATAATACCTTAAGGTAAGTAGAGTAAAAAGGGAAGGAAACTAAAATAAAAATAGAAAGGTAAATAGATTTAAAGAGAAAATAATGAATATTCAAGTTTAGCAAAGAAGATCCAACATAATTACAATAGGAGTTACATAGACAAAAGCAAGTAACTGACCCATAAGGGTCAGAAAACTATATTATTATCACAGTTTTAACAACAAATCTTTATGACAGAAGAAAATGGGATAACTGCATTTAGGATGTAAATAAAATGTGATCCAGGGGTTTTATATTGAGCAAATGTGCCTTTCAAATATAAAAGCTCAGATAAGCCAAAACCAGTTTGGCTCAGTGGATAGAGCATTGGCCTGTGGACAGGTCGATTCAGGTCAAGGGCATGTACCTTGGTTGCAGGCACATCTCCAGTAGGGGGTGTGCAAGAGGCAGCTGATAGATGTTTCTCTCATCAATGTTTCTAACTATCCCTCTCCCTTCCTCTCTGTAAAAAATCAATAAAATATATATTTTTTAAAAAGGCTCAGATAAGCTATTAACATTATGCAAGAACTCTGACGATGTTGTTCTCCCGAGCATTCCTGAAGAATCTATTAAAGAATGGGTATGCAGAAACCAGTTTGGCTCAATGGATAGAGCGTCGGCTTGGGGACTGAAGGGTCCCGGGTTTGATTCCGGTCAAGGGCATGTACCTTGGTTGCAGGCATATCCCCAGTAGGGGGTGTGCAAGAGGCAGCTGATTGATGACTCTCTCTCTCATTGATGTTTCTAACTCTCTCTCTCCCTTCCTCTCTGTACAAAAATCAATAAAATAAAAAAATAAAAGAATGGGTTTCATAAAACCTGACAAACATGATGTAAGGACAGATTGAGGATTAATTATATAGTTACACTAGAAGCCCGATGAATGAGTTTGTGCACATTGAAAGGAAATTTATTACAATAAATATTTTAATATCACTATTCGCCCTTTCTCTATAATAGAAATGTCAACCAAATTCACGATTGACAATGACAGATGAAAACATATAATAGTATAGTAACAATGTTGTGCTAAGTGTTTCATGTGGTGCTAATGAGAGCTTTATATCTATATATATAAAAGCCTAAGCAACCAAACAACTGGTCATCCAAGTGATATGATGCATACTGACCACCAGGGGCAGACACTCAATGGAGAAGCTCCCCCTTGATGGTCAGTGTGCTCCCCCAGCCAACCTCCCAGGGGCAGCCAACCTCTCTCGGCCCTTCCCCATA